CCCTGCCCGAGTCTAATCCCCAGCCTGAATGGGGAATAATGGGACCCCCCTGCGCTGAGCCCAGCTTAGGAACCATTGCAATTCCCTTTGGAGAGGAAGAAAACAGGCTCCCTAATCCGGCCTAAGCCTTCCCTGTCCCATTGGCTGCCGGCTGCCCGGGTGGAGGGGGGCCCGGCTGCCTGCCCTTAAATAGCAGAGGGGTAGAAGTTTGGGGAGAAGTTTTGGCTGCTGTTCCTGAGCCTAGGACGCTCGGCTGTGGAGAGGACGAGGAGAGGAGCCAGGCGCTTTCCTGGGAAAGTTGGGGTCCCCAGAGGTGAGAGAGCTCTTGGGGTGCGTGTGTGGCTGGGGGTGGTATGCGGGGGGTGAGGGCAGCAATGGAGCCCCCTGAGGCTTGTGCTCTCCCTGAGGACAGGAGGGAGGTGTAGAGAAGCAGGAACAGCCCCAGAGAAGAGTCTAGTGGAGGAAAATGAGCAGTTTGGGGTCTGGCTAAAACAGCTAGATGCCAGGGAGGTGTGGGACAAGCTTCTCCCCCCACAGCTCTGCCCTTTGACCCCTGTCCCAGCCCTGCACCCACAGCTCTTTACCTCAGTCCTAGCTTTCCACGTGCCCCTTGGGCCTGACTCGCTGGCTGAGGGACTGACTGCTCCTGTGCCCGGCCCTGTGGTGCCATCTCTTGACACCAGTGCAGCTGCTTGCACAGCTGTTTCACACTCCTGCTGCACTGGTACTAACAAGCACGCAAGACCCAGGGCCAAAAGGATCAGGAAGCAAGATCCACGAGGCTTGAGGGCTCTGGCAGGTTCCCACGTCAGAGGCTTCCCTGCACTTTCTCTTGCATTGGCCCTGTTACAGCAGGTCTGTCCCATGGCCAATTCACAACCCCCTGGGGATCCCAGCTAGTATGTCTGGCATCCCAGCGCTGACAGTGGGGGCAGCTCCAAGCAGAGGGAAGCTGCAAATAAGGAAAGGACTGTGCTGGGAGTGGAGTAGAGCCCCTTTTCTGGGGGATCCCAGCAGAAGGAAGGGGGATTCCAGCATCTCCAACAAAATGGGGGATCGTGAAATTATTTTAGTTGGGAAAGTTGAAGGGTTTCGTCTCAGTGACGCGGAGCTGTGAACTTCCCGGACGGCAAAACACCTTCACTGCAGTAACACCAATCTGTTAGCCAATTCTTAACAGAGCTCTCGGCCCAAGCCAAATACTAACACCGTGGTCCCAGCCGAATGAAGTGTTCGACCTACTCCGAGTGAATGAGAATGAATCCATGTCGTCTAACTTTCTACTGTCAGAAGAGCAGCTGGCTCGGATGCGGGCTTGCAAGACATTTTCCGTTCAGGGAAACGGCCTTTCCCCTATGACAAAACCCTTTTGCCCACTGAGAGTGGGAAGGAGGTTTGGAAACAGCAGGGTGTTCTGGGCAGGGAAATCTGAGCTGTTTGGCTTTGAAAATGTTGCAGCTTTTGGCAAGTTTTTAGTTTTTCAATTTTGTTTCTTTGAATGATCAACCGGGTGGAAGTGGCATGTCTAGGGCCTGTGGTTCGGGTGGGGGGGGAGTGGCACCCGTCGAGGGGTGTACGTCTCTGCAAGGGATATGTCTGTACAGGTGCGTGGAGGGAGCAACCAGCAGAGAGTAAAGAATAAGTTTAAAACCGATGAAAAAGGAAGTTCTTTTTTCGCAGGGAATGTCATTAAAGGATGGGACTCGGCAGATGCGGTGGAGGCTGACAGTGCAGCCCGATTCAAAAAGGGTCTGGACACGTATTGGAAAAAAGGTGCATCAATAACTATTGAGCACGGAAGTGAGGGAGACATTAGGGAGTTGTAATTCAGAGGCTGCAAGTGAGAGTTGCTGCCTCAGTTTCCCCTCCCATGCTTTGCTGGTTGGACTCTCTTTAAGGATGTAGCCCTTCTCACTGGGCATCTTTACAACACGGGGCCAAAGGGTGGATCCAGAGGTGGTGGGTGCTGCAGTAGCTGTGCTGCATTTGAGCACAGCCCCTGCTTTTGCCGGACCCCAGGGTAAGTGCAGCTGCCATGGGCTTGTCCCCTCCTTCCCCTTGCCGCCGAATGCATCGGGCAGGGGGAGGAAGGGGAAGGGCGAACAGCAGCAGCATTCACCCCTTGCTCCTTGGAGCCTGCGAAACTCCGGCGCTGACCGGGCAGGGAGCTCAGAGTATGCTGCGGAGGCGTAATGTGGCTGAAGTATGGGGAGGGCTGCACCCTCCTTGCCCCTTTCTGGATCTGCTACTGATGGGACCTGCTGTTTGTCTGAGGTCTCTAGATGCCACTGCAATGTAAAGCATAAATGATTCAGGTCAAACCTCTTCCTGGCCCTGTCTCCGGCATCCCACATGGAGCAGAGGAGCTCAGCCAGGGCTACGCAGGGGCTGGGCCACTGAGCAGGGCTATTGCTGTGTTCTCAAAGCTGTGTGTTGTTTCCAGGGGCCTGGTGTGAGATGCCCCTGATGGGCCCCTTTGTACCCACCATGTACTGCCTCAGCAGGAGCAGCTGTCCCCTCGGCACCGCAGACCCCCTCTCCGTGGTCTGCAGCCTCCACTCGCCAACAGCCGAGCCCTTTCCGCTGACCCCAGCCCTGGCCCCACAGCCCACGGCCCTGCAGGCGGTGAGCTTGGTGGATCGCTTGGCAGGTAGGATGGGCAAGAGGCTGGGGGAAGCGGGACATGCATTGAGGCACTGGTTTCCAGTAAGCCCAGTTTATGGTACTGGAACAGAGGGCCCAGTGGTTGGGTTCAGAGCAGCATGTGAGAGACAGGTGCTCCATTCCCTGCTCTGCTACTGGCTTCCCAGGTGGCCCTGGTTGAGTCACTTAGCCCCTCCGGTGCCTCAGTTTCTTACTGGTGTGAGGTGGGGAAGAATATTTCCTGCCCGAAGGGGGTATGGGGAGGACTGCAACGTGCTGGGGGTGCTTTGGTCATGGCAGCAGAGTGGGCAGCACAGCACAGTGATGAGGCTGATCTCAGCAGGTGGTGTCATTACTTGCTAGTGCTGTGGCATGGCCTCATGTTGGGGATATTCAAGGAAAGCTCAGACGGCTGCAGCAGTAAGGAGTGGCAGTGACAGCCCTCTCAGCCGGGGCCCCAGCACGGTGCCTGCTCCACTGTGACCCTCTGCTCCCCCCACCTTGTCTCCTGACACTTCCTTACTTTAAGAAGAGCGGGACGGTTAGCTCAGCTAATGGTAGTTCCCTGGGCAACGACCTTGTCCTCTCCTGAATTAGGCAGGCTCCATCAGCTGTTCTGCAGCCCCCTGGCTAAAGAGCTGCGGTGCTCCTCCCCAGAGCTGGCTGCATGCAGCCAAGTGTGTTGAATCCATTTGGGATGACGTGCAGGGAAATCCTCCATGAGGAAAGGTGCCATTTGGTCTGATCTGACTGTTTGCTCCCCTTCTCCCAGAGCTGCTGCTGGAAGCTCACTACCGGCTGCCCCAGAAGCATCGCCGCAGCCGTACTGCCTTCACGGTCCACCAGCTGGAGGCGCTGGAGAGAGCCTTCGAGAAAACCCACTACCCTGACGTGGTGACCCGGGAGCAGCTGGCCGTGTTCGTCAACCTGCCTGAGGCCAGGGTCCAGGTAACCCCAGTGCCACTTGCTCCTAGCACCCATGCCCTGGCAAGCTCCAGGCAGGGCCTGGCCCAAATCAGGGCAGCAGAGGGGTGGTCCTTTCAGGGAAAGGGATTAAGAGGGAGGGTCTGTCTTGTCCAGGAATTAACCCTTTCACAGCCTGGATGGGGAAGGAGAATGCTGTGCTCAGGCCCCACCAGGATCCTGCCCACCTTGTCCATGAAGGGAGATGGTTGGGTCAGAGGCTTCGGGGGTAGAAAAGGGGTTGGTGCAGTGCATGCTGCTGGGGTAGGAGATGGTGCAGACAGCCCTTTTCCCAGCAGCCCCTTGGCCTCCCCCAACCTGAGGGCTGCCCTGGGTCTCCCTGTAGCTACCCAGTGTGGAGCACAGAGCCAGCTGTGCCATGCGAGAGTGTAATGCCAGGTCTCTGGTGCCCTCACTGGAGTGGGGCTGCGGCACCACAGCTGGGTGGATCATTAATCTACCCCCTTTGGCTCCTCCCTGGTAGGTCTGGTTCAAGAACCGCCGAGCCAAGTTTCGCAAGGGGCAGCGCCGTCAGCTGGAGAAGGCCAAGTCTGCCAGTCCCAAGGGCGGAGACGGAGCAAAGGGACGCCTCTTGCCGGAGCCGAGACTCCGGCCAGCAACAGAGGGCAGTGCCCTGGGAGCGGAGCATCGCCTTGTCCCTCCAAGGAAGGTTCCCAGCTCTGCAGAGCCAGCACCCCAGTGTCTCCAGCAGGCCCCTTCGCCAACACCCAGGGCTCAGCTGCTGGATGGGATGTGGCTGGACTGCGGAAGGAGGAGCGACCCAAAACTGTGGCACCTGCCTTCACTTTCCTTCCCCACCTATTGGCAAGCTTTGTAGGGATCCCAGGCTTCGTGCTGTGATTGCAGGAGCCTCTGCCTGCTGTGTGCCAGGACCTAGGCAGGGTATATCTGCCCCAGTGCCAGGCTATGCCAGCTCACCCAGCTGCCACCTGCATGAGTGCCTTCTCGTGCATCCCACCCGTCTTAAACCCAGGGAGTCCTGAGCTGGGCTGTGACATGCACAGGACATGGGCTGGTGCCCGGTGGTGTGAACTCTGTCCCAGCCCAGATCCCAACACCTGTGTGTGTAGGGGGAGCCCCTCTCGAGACCTTGTCTCAGGGGCAAGGTGGGAGGCAGCAGGTGATCAGTGGGTTTGTTAATAAAAACTTCTTCTGTGTCAAAATAAAAGCAGGTTTTTGGGTCTCCCCTGTATGGATATCCCTTTCTTTCCCCTTTCATGAACTCCTTCCCTCTTCTTCCCACATCGGTCCTGAGCCATTGGGCCATCTGCTTCCACTGCTCTCCTACTCCCTTGGTTCTGGTGGATTTGGGGTAGCACAACAGGCAGAACTAGAGCTGGGGTGGGCCAGTGAGGCCTCATGGCCAAAGGGTTTGGTGAAGGCCGGCTGTGCCCTGCAGGTGCTTGCTGGGTGTGAGATGGTGGGAGTGGTGGAATTACCCCAGTCCTGCCCCCTGAAGAGCAACCTGAGACCCACGCTTTGCTATGCTGCTCTGGCATGAGGGGCTGTGTGATGCCGGTGCACAGTGCTATTGCTATGTGGTGTTATATGTTGCCCAGTGCATTCCCCTGGAAGGAGGCCAGGCTCTACCTGTCCCCGTTGGATTCAGATAGATTCATAGATTCACAGATGCTAGGGTCGGAAGGGACCTCAATAGATCATCGAGTCTGACCCCCTGCATAAGCAGGAAAGAGTCCTGGGTCTAGATGACCCCAGCTAGATACTCATCTAACCTCCTCTTGAAGACCCCCAGGGTAGGGGAGAGCACCACCTCCCTTGGGAGCCCGTTCCAGACCTTGGCCACTCGAACTGTGAAGAAGTTCTTCCTAATGTCCAATCTAAATCTGCTCTCTGCTAGCTTGTGGCCACTATTTCTTGTAACCCCCGGGGGTGCTTTGATGAATAAATACTCACCAATTCCCTTCTCTGCCCCCGTGATGAACTTATAGGCACCCACAAGGTCGCCTCTCAAAATTCTCTTGCGGAGGCTGAAATGGTCCAGTTTCTCTAGTCTCTCGTCGTAGGGCTTGGTCTGCAGGCCCTTAACCATACGAGTGGCCCTTCTCTGGACCCTCTCCAGGTTATCCGCATCCCTCTTGAA